TTTGGGGGTAGGACATTCTGCAGATGAAGATTATAGTCTTTCTTCTGAAGACTGCGATGTTCTTGTTTGTTTAGCCAAAAGATCCCCCAAAGGTCATCAGAGAAGGGAGAGTCCGAACACAATATGGTGGTTTGGAGCTGTAGACAGTAGTCACTTCTCTGCGGGCATATTCCTTCTGGTTAGAGGAAGGCAACTCTGAATAGAATTGGCCTTTCTTTTTCTGTCTGATCCTCCTGTTCTTATAGTTAGGGGCTAGGATTCTATAACATTCCCCAATGAAATACAGCACAGAACACACCCACTCCACAGAGCCCCCCAGCTGGTCCATGTGGCCCCGAGTTCCCAGCTGACAAGTACTACGGTCACCAGGTCTTAACTTTTCCCATTTATTGAATGCCTTTGCATTTGTCTAGCTTTGCTCAGGGTCCTTTGAAAGATGCACCAAATCTCATCTGTACCCCCCACACGGCCTGGTATAGTGAACAAGCATCACTTGAGATGAGAGAGGCAGCTGCCACAGAGATCCGCCGAGCAATCACAGGTGAGCCCTCCATACCTCCAAGCCAGCTGCAGCCCAGCTGGTGGAAAGGAGAAAACAGCCACACAGCGGAGCTCCCCAAGGGCTACAGGTGGCTACAGAATGAGTTGTTATAGTCAATAAATTGAATTGTGTGTGAATTGGGCTCAAATTCTGAAGTAAATTTCAGAGGAAATCCCTTCCCTCTAGCCTCAGCCACTGTACTTGTTACAAACTGAAGAGGGCGACCCCCAGAGATGGGCGGGAGGTTCATTTTCTTTTCCAGCTGAAGGCTCTCTGCACCATAAGCCTCCAAGTAATATTGAACTGTGACTGCACTCTTTGCACATGAATGATTAATTTTAACCCTCTTATCTCTAGGTCGCATCCCAGAAAGCTTAAGAAACTGTGTCAACAAGGAATTCTTTGTCACATCAGCTCCTTGGTCAGTAATAGACCAGCAAGCAATTCATCCTGAGCTCAATGGTGCCACATACAGGTGAGAAGAGAAACTGAATTTGTCTTGAACTACTAGCATTGTGCCCTTGGGGACAAAAGGAGGCAAGAAAAGCCCAAACTTGCAGTGATTTTGGTAATAAAGAAAAATCAGCCTTTTATTGGGAATTGTGTACATTATCCTCACTTTTGATGCCAAATCCCATAGAATAAATACAACTTGAAGGAAACAGTCACTCAAACTGGTATGACCACCATGCCAGGAATCTCTCCTTCTCCTGAAGCCACTGTAAAATCTGTTTCTAGAAGAAAGACTGTCAAGGGGAAAGGCCTGTTTATTCTTACAAAAGAATGTGAAAATCAACTAGGGACAATGGCCTTTTCTACACACACACAATCAATAATAGGTGCATGGCTGTAATCCCAGTGACCTGGGACACTGAGGTAGTATCACAAATTTAAGGTCAGCTTCAGTAACTTTCAAAAATGGCCAGTGATATAGCAAGTCAAGTGTCCCTGGGTCATATCCCCAGAAAGGGGGTGGGGGGAAAATGCACGCAGTTTGAATAAACAGTGTGACTACTAGGGGTGGACAGAAATGGGCTCCCTGAAGAGAGCAGTAATGTCCTGTCTTCTGTCCCCTTCCCCACCCTAATTACTGCTGGGTTTCAGCAAAATGAAAGAACACAGGAGGAGCTGCAGCCTTGCTCTAACCTGGGACCTCCCACCCTTGGCAGCACTTGCATTTATGGCCAAATAATTCTCTTGGAGTCATTCTTTGCATCCTAAGGTGGTCAGGAGCCTCCCGGGCCTTTACTCAATAACCATCAGGAGCCCCTCCTCTCTGAAAGTCTCTCCAGACATTGCTGCTTGTAGCTACTTCCAGGTCACATGGCTCTGTCTCCACTCTGCCTCATAAGCACTTTGAAGTGTCACGTCACCGCTTATGCCCATCTCTGAACCAGAATCAAATTCACTCCTGTTGGTGGCTCACCCTAGGGATTCCTTAGCAGTTTAACTGTGGCAACCAGGGCCTGACAGCTTGGTGAGTGGGACACTCGTTCTGAAGCACCTATTTATCCCCTTTAAATATATTGTCACCTTGAGCCTAAGAACTGTGTGTCCTGCCTGCAATGTAATGTGAGTCCATATCTTGGCATGCATAAAATGGCAGGAGTTTAGCTAACAGCAGGTTACCAGTTTGCTGCTGTTGTCCCAGTTCACAAGAGCAGCAACTTGAGAGTATGTGCCACTAATAAAATGACCAGTGGCTTCCAAACCACAAATTTCTCAGTTTTGGAGGCTGTCAGGACAAGGTGCAAGCTTGGGTTCTGGTGAGAGTTACCAGCTTCTCTCCATGTCCATTCATAAGGGAGCTGACTGGGGTACTTATCTGACTCATGAGAAGTCTTCCCAAAGGTTCTAAATCCTAGTACCACCACCTTGGGGATTAGAATTTGAACAGAAGGCTTGGGAAAAGAAACAGTCAATATTAACAGCCACACTTGATTTTTCCGATAGTACTTCATAATCTGTTGGCAAATCACAAAATCAACCCAACTAGTGAACACTTACCTAAGTCAGCCAGAAAATTCAGAGCCTGTTGGGTCACAGCATGGATAGGTATTTGCCCATAAAAGTCTTTGGCAAAAAGCCACAGAATTAAAGGTCTAATGTTGTGATTATCCCTAGGGGTGGATTGGGGGGAATAGAGGACAACAAATTTCCTGTAATACCTGAAGGGCCAAGAGCTTTTAGGCACTCTGCTCACTCACAAGGCCCCTTTTCCATGTGCTCCTTAGGTATCCGCCGGGCATAGTAGGCGTGGCTCCGGGAGGACTTCCTGCAGCCATGGAAGGGATCATCCCTGGAGGCATCCCAGTGACTCACAACCTCCCCACGGTGGCACACCCTTCCCAAGCTCCCTCTCCCAACCAGCCTACAAAACATGGGGACAATCGAGAGCACCCCAACGAGCAATAGCAGAGAATGCTGAAAGGTAATCATTCAGATAAACTTGGGACCAAGAGACAGTGAAAATGGATGAACTAAGAGAAGGAATTTGACAGTCTTTTTAACTGACCCTGGACATATGCATCGTTGGTGTTGCAGTGTTAAAAGCTACAAGAGCTAGAAAACTGAAGATGTCGTCTGCTTCCAGAAGCGCTGAAAGAATAGGACGTGATTTATTAACGACCAACTTCTGTTATTGTGTGTTAAGTTTTCCATCTGTGCATCAAATCACAAAGAATAAATAGAGCTTTTTCCTTTATCAGTTCCTTGGGCACAGCAGGTCCTGAGCACCTTGCTCTAGAATGTTGCATCAAGAGTTCCAAACATCAAAATAAAAAAATATTAAGAGGAAATCCCCATCTTATGACTCTAGTCCCTTTGGTCTACAGGGGCTTGTTACCTCTTTTTGCTAATAGGAAGACAAAATTGCTACAAAAATGGGGAAAAAACTGTTTGCCTGTGTTAGACACCTGCACGCATAGGATTGAAGACAGTACAGGCTCCTGTACAGAAGTGTCTCCCTCACAGCTGAACTGCATACCGAGCAGGCAAGTTGGTTGTAAGTTCAGTTGTACCCTCTGATGATGCAAAAAAGATAAAAAAAAAAAAAGAAAAAAGTATTAAGTTTCACAAGCTGTTTGTACTCAAATATATTTTCTCAGTTTCAGATCCTCAGCTATTTTATTGAGTGGAAAGTCTTGAACTGCTAAGGGTTCAAGAATAATGTTGCATTTCCTTATGTCTCAGGAAACACTTTTTATGGTAACTTGTCAGATTGTCTATGAACAAACCCACTTTTTTAGACATTGATAAATTCTTTTCTTCACGTGATATTTTATACAAGAACACTTCAGATGTGTTATTAGATGTGACTGATTTTAACAAATCCTATTAGATTTGTATCAACTAGTTACATGTTCTATTCATAGTCTTTTGTGAATCATTGCCTTTTTGTTTAAAAAGATGGCCTATTTTGAGCCTTTGTATAGGTACATTCCTGTTTTTGTGACAAAAGAAAAACTTTAACCTGTCCCAAAAGGAAAAATGGCTATCAGAAGTATGTTTTGTTTTAGTGTGAGTTACCGTTACTGTACTTGTTTATTGTAAAAGGTGGACATTTAGCGTTCAGTGCAGTTTTCAATAAAAAGTAATTAAAATTTCTGCTAAGCTCTGAAATTCAAGTACATCTCACCAATGTAAAAGTTCTCTACTTGAGATGTTTAGAGGTAACTGCATTGTTCGCCAATTCCCAACTCTGTTACTCCAAGGTTCTACCTACCTATTCCATTACCAGATTCAAATGCTGACAATGTTCTACAGCATTTACCCAATAGAGCAAGACCTCACACAAGCCCATCACTGCTAAATCATCTAACCCTTTAAGATGCAACACTGCACTGGAACGAAGTCAATTCCAGAAAAAAGCTGTTGAAGAAATTCGGTCTTAATCGACCCAAAAATAGAACTGGTTCACACATGCCAATAACATAAGAACTGATTTACAAAGAAGTATTACTCTGAGAACCATATAGTTCGTTTAATGGATCTTTCTTTTTAAATAACTAATATGTTATTTAAAATATGATATGAAGGCCCACAATTCCAAGGTCAAACTCCCTCTGAGCTTTTTCTTATCTGGTTAGAGAACTGTTTTTGCTGTGCTCTGCTCAAACGCAGGGTCTCACAAATGCTAGGTAAGCGCTCTACCACTGAACCATATAGTCACAACCCACAACATCCTGTGGTAAGGCATCACCCTCCCTGGCCTTCTCTTATCACTCAGGTAGGCAACCCCATCCCTACTCTGCTGTGAAACTACCTTAAACTCCCATGGGAGACAGTTACTTGACCTATTGTCTTGGGAAGCTATCTTTATAGCCACTTACCAAACAGATGTTGAAATGCACAAAAAGACCCCAACCATTTGTGCACAAAAGTTATTTTACCTTCACATGTTCAGAATGGGATGGGATGAGACTACAAGTCAAATAGAAAAAGGCAGGTGAATCCATGGTGTGCCTGGGTTTTGTTTAATTAGATTTCAGTTGCTCAGACAGTTCTTTGGAAATTATTATATATATAATTGAATCCAAAGAAGAACAACAAGAATAGAAGACACCATACTGATTTTACCCTAGAAAAAAAAACCATGAAGTTAAGTCCATACAATTCAGGCATTATTATTCACAGTCAACCTAAAGACAATTATGGCTGTTGAATAGTTCAAGAGCTTAACATAGCATTGATTTACCAAAAAATTTGGCCTTTAACAGCCAGCCAGTCTGTTGTGAAAACCACTTAAAAGCCCCTTTTCCTGTCTGAAACCTAGAAAATGGAACCAGATATAATGCTTTCCCACAGGGAAGAATGTTGTACCCATCAAACTAATCATAAATAAATAAAGAGGGAACTCTGGGGAAAGGATACCTGGCAGCTCAACAATGAGTGCAATGCAGGCCCCAGAGACCAGATGCTTTCCTAATGCCTCTCTTAGGCACTCTGCCTTCCCAAGTGAGGTGGCCAAACAACTAGAACAGGATCTGTGACCCCTGAAGAATCCTCCTTATCCATGAAGAACAGTTAACTACAGATGCTATTCTAAGCACTCAGAATGATGGCCCCTGCTTCTAAAAACTTAGCTATTACAAAGAAAAAAGGAAACCACAGTCAATTTGTAAGAAGACAGTAACCACTTGGAACAGTACATTCACCATTATTGTAATATACCAAAATTCATTGATATGGAATCATACTGCAAACATGACTCTTCCTCGCAGGTTTTAGCATGCAGCAAAAATGATCCCATCATCCTGGGAACACTTTACTGAGTGTTTGGAGAGGAGAAAGAACCAAAGACATGACAGGTCATGGGTATTTTTCGGTTTTTTTAGTATCCCAGCATCAAATTTGAAGATGGGCACATTTCAATACCATCTAAACAGGAAGCAAATATTAAAAGGTTTTCACAGCCTTTTCATCAAAGGAAAGTTAAAACATGTGTCTATGTTATTTGCTTCTTTGATAATTCCTTGCCATATCAATAGTTACAAAATGCTTGTCAGGAAACTAAGTCTGGTGTTCCTGAGATCAGAAATTTTTACCCAGTACTGAATGAATGTATACCTGAAGTGGTCAAATAATACTTTTCATAGAAAGTTTTTCTACACAATAATTTAACTTATTAAATAATAAGAATGGCCACAATTAACCAACATGCAAGAGTTCTTGGACTTACAGAGAATTCATACAATGCACTTACCACCTTATTGCATTTTTTAAAATCTTTATTCTGCACTGAATGGTATTCCCAATCAGTCTAAGCAAAGGCACAGCCTCCTAACAGCATTTGCTTAGAGCAAAGGTGATAACAGGAGATGGGAAGAATCCAAAGGTTCTCTGCATGGCAATTTAGGAGTAGTACAATGTGGATGGAGCTGAAGGGAACAAATTTGACACGATCTACTCAGTGAGAAGTGAGCCTGCTCCCTTCCCTTCCCAACTGCTGCCCAGAGTCTGGGGCAAGAACATTCACTTCAGGGCATTCTTCCAGACAAGTCCACAAGTATCTAAATGCTCAAAGGAGCAAATCATAAAACCCAAAAATGACAAATTTGAAACTAAAAACTCTCCAAGGAAGCTATGAGGTTCACTCAAAGATTATTAGCTTTTCTTGTAGTTTGTTCCTAAAAGGTTTGATTTTATTGGGCACAACAGGAACTAAATAAATAAAATATAAGCTTATTTATTATGTTTTGCGGTGGACAATTTGTACAAACTTTCCAGATCTCAGACTAAATGTAAAATGGATCTTTTAAGGTGAAAATAGAATGCCAGGTTCTAATGAAGAGAACATCTCAAAGGAATAAGAGTGGTCTGCCATGTGCTTTTTTGTAAGTGCCCATGCTGGAAAAAAGTTTTCTCAATATGAAGATGCTGGTACAACTTTTCCTATTACACAATTTCTTACACAACCACATGCATTACATTTATAGACAGATTTACAATTTGAAAGAAAAAAGTTCTGTCTTAATAAAATTAGTTTTTTGTTTTATACAAACTGTAGTTCAACCAGTTCTCTTGTCTCCTCATGCAGCAGATGCATTAATTATCTCCACTGGGTGTGGATCAGAAAAATACTTCTGAGCAGATCCTGCCAGATTTGGTTCATTTCATGCTATACACTCTGCTTGGAGCACCAAGCTAACTTGGGGGTCATCACAGATTCTGATGCCTTGGTCTTCTGCTCCATAAGTTTTTCTTCATTCATCTTCATCATCTTCATCTTCCTCTCCATCAGATAGGGATGTACAAGGCCGGATCTGCCGGTAGCGGTCAAGCCATTTTTCTACCATCTGTGTGACCAGGGGGTGATTCCGCCGGCGAGAGCTTTTCTGCATAGCTACCAGAACTCCCCCTTCAGTCACACAGCAGTCCAGCCACTCCCTGAGCAGTTTTTCTTGCTGTTCCTCATTACCTAGCTTTTAGAGGAATGTGAAGAAAATGGGAAAATACAACATCAGAGATTTGACAGCAACCTACAGCTGGTAAGACAATTAGGCCAAAACAACAAACTTTTAACATGTTTTCAACCTCATAAAACTAAGTCTAATTAAATTTAACATGTCAGTGGGGAAATAATCAGAAAAGGCCAGAGGGAAAAACATCCCAAAAGATCATTTGTTTCACAGGATAGCAAAAGGCAAACAAATCACCAAAAAAGTCACAGCTTCAAACACCTAACAAGGTAAGTTTACTTAGTAAATTATGAACAGGCTTAAATTGCACGTTGTGGTCTTTCTTGTATTTAATTTTTTCCCTTCAATGTTGTGATTATGAACATTCTATGATCGTTACTAGTTCACTGAATAAAAGACCAATAATTTTACAAGAATACGAGTTTTCTGAGAGAGTGTTCTTTTGTACTTTCTCACCACCTCCCCTGCTCAATCTACATGTGCTTGCTTGTGCCTTATATCCATAAGGCACTGTGCCCCAGGCATCTAGCCTTGGCTAATCAGTGTTCCTCTTCTGGGCACACTGGCTGCTGGCTTCCCATCTCACCCTTATCACCTCATCTTGTCGCCTATCCTCTTTCCTCCTTACCCTCTTCCCCTTAATGTAACTGGCCCTGCGATTCCTAGAATTCTATTCCTCCAAACTTGAAGATTCACTTCACCTATGACCCTATTGACTCACAAATCCCTCAGTCTTGCTTTTTCAAATTCCTCGCTATGCTCCCAACAAAGGAGTTTTGAAATGATAATTTCAACGTCTGACCAACTAGTATTTACAGAAAGCTGCAATCATTACAACCACATTCAGAAATTTATCTGGCAGTACAGATAAAACCACACCTGAAAGGCACCAGAGATTGGATTCTGCTACAAACAGAAGAAACATGCTGCTTACCTCCTGTGCAGAAAGAAAATGCACATGGAGTAGCTTTCTTTCACTGTCAACCAGAGGCAAAAACGTGATGGTGACATCATCATCGGTGTTCAAGTTAGCACCAGCACCTCGGTTGCCATAGCCATCGTTTTCCATGGCAACCAAAGCAGAGAAGTGGCCCCTTGTGTACCCCAGAGCAATAGGACTTTTCCAACAAAAACTCTGTTCCCACAACAAAGGCAGATAGACTCCTGGGAAAAGGCAAAAGAAAATCACAAGGGTGAATACCTCTCATTTCGCATGGCCACTGTTCTTGCTGGTAGCCAAGAGTCACTCTGACCACCTCCCCCATGACTACTTAAGGATATGGTGCAAATTACATCATCATAGTAAAAAAAAAAAAAAAACTTATGAAATGCTCTAGAATAATGGCTTACCTTGAAACCGAGTATATCCTAAAGTTTCTCCCCGGAAACTCTTATAATATTTTACTCCATAAACTATAATTGGTCGTCTAAGAATATGGGCAAGGACAAAAATGTGTGTCTGTTCCAAACTTGCTCCAGGCTGTACAGAACAACAAAAAAGGCATGTTTTCTTTAAAACATTACCCATCCTGGAAAAGTGATATATAAAAAGCAACACTATCTTCACAGTATGACTTTCAGTCCATTTTTAAGAAAAACAATATTGGCAAGTCAAAGCAAAAAAAACCTTAATAAATATAGGTATTATTCACTACCCACTCACAAACCTAATAAATGAGGATACACATTTTAAGAAGCCCCTTTACTAATCCAGGCTCACAACTCTCCTTCAATCTTGGGAAACAGACTCAAACAGCAAGGGGGCTTCCTGTGATCACATCGTGATTAACTGTGAAAGTACTAACTACAACAAGAAAACAGTGAGCTTTATGTCATAAATCATTAAATGGAAGTAACACCTAACTCAAATTGTCATATCCAATGGGTTTATCTTCCAGAGTTAGTGTGGCTGACAACACATGGCCAATTTACATGTTAGATGTTAATTGGTCACTGTGAGCCATCAAATGGCCCAAAGAGAAGGTACTACTCTCTCAACGTTCGAATGAACTATTATGCATGTATCTTGACTTCGTGGTTTATTATGCTGAATATACCTCACAAAATAAAAATAAAATTAGCATGAAACCAAGAGTTTAATAAGTGTGTCAGGCTATGGACACACCACACTGAACCAACCAATCTCATCTATTAAAGAATGTGCAAGCAAAATTATCATGAAAAGTTCACTCCTGCATCAATTAGAAGTCAGTCCTGCCAGTGGCAATTAATTCAGAATAAGCCAGACTGCACCTTTTCCTTTGCCTATATCTCCTGGGTACAGCCTCACCACTGGGGAGCATTCTGAAGAATGTGCACTTCTTCCTCAGGGCCTGACAGCTCAAGCACCTGTCATTGATTAAGGGGTCCTGGTAAGGTCTCACCTAACCTGTAGGTAAGTAAAATAGGCATATGGAAAGCAACCTCAAGACCAGGGTGCTCGAGATCACTGCACAACTTTTCATTTTGACTTGATATAACATCTGTTACTCGAAATTCTGCAGTGAGGACTTCCTATGCTCATGTATTTAATAGCAGTCACGCCTAAAACCCAAGTTGACTGGTGCCAAGTCAAGCACCTTTCCTTGTACCACATTATCCCAATATGGTTTGCCCAAGCAAATCAGGAACTTTGACTACATGGCTTACCTTTCTCATAGACAAGCCTTGCTTACCTGACTAGCAAGAGAGAGGATAAATGCCCAGTCTTCTTGCCACTGTTCTTCTCTTAAGGAAAAATGTAAACCAAAGCTCTGAGAATACCAGGATTCCCAATCTTTCCAGCGTGTGTAAAACCTACACAGTTAAAACAAGAAACCTTCTATAAACCCTACCTTTAAATATTTCTTTAATGTAATCTTAAGGCAATTCATAGACCAATTTTACATTATTTGCAATATCTTTTTCAAATTAAAAATGCTCCCATTCTGTTAGCAGACATCTTTTAAAATATCTTCAGCCAAAATTTGATCTGCCACCCACCAAATTTTCACCAAACACTAGTAAAGAGAACAATTACTTTCAATTTTCTATTACTAGTTTACAAGTTAAAAAAAAAAGACAATCAACATCATCTGAGCCTATACACAAAGAAGTCACATTTGTCCATTGTTATATCACTACTTTTGTAAACAGGAAATATCCCATATTTATAAAAATATCAAGATCAGTGCCCTGAGATTTCTTTCTATAAAATCAAATATGATGATCACCTAATCAAAAAAAAAAAAAAATCAAAAAAACAATTCCTTCTTTATACTATCTAGCCTTTAAAATACCTCAACCTAGTCAATTAGTGAGTCACTGGCAGACTATACTACTACTAATTAAAAAAAGTATGCTTTTTCTTTATATCAAGAATAAAACTAACAAAAACCAGAAATAATTATGCTCAAAATGTTGGTTTAGTCTTACAAAATAAGTTGGTCAAAACCTCTAAAGTGAAATAGACATTTAAGTATGTTCAGGGCTGGGGTTGTGGCTCAGTGGTAGTGCTTACTAGCATGTGTGAGGCACTGGGTTCAATTCTCAGCACCACATAAAAAAAATGAATAAAGATACATAGCAAAAAATGTGTTTAAAATATGTTCATCTTTAATGCACTGTTTGAATTCTAAAAACCGATTTTCAAGCTTAGGTCATTGTTTTTTGGAGTGGTAGAAATTAAACCCAGAAACTTGCACACTCTAAGCACTCTACTAGTGAGCCACATCCCCAGCTCCTTAAAAATTTTTTAAAGACATTTTAGTCTTACTTTTAATATTTTCATGCAACTGTATCTATCCACATGATAGCACAGGTACTAACTACAAGTATTTGGAAAGAGCACAGTTACATGCATTATTTATTTGTCTACTTCCAACCAGCATTTCTGGCAGTTTACCCTGAAAAAATGTCACTACTCCAAGCTGGGAAAAGGCAAAAAAAAATCACAAGGGTAAAACTCTAGGAAACTAGACTTCATCAATACCAAATAACAAAATAGTAATCATTCTAAAAGACTTGTACTAAACTTTTATTTATATTAATTAATAATTAATAATTATTTATATTAATTACCCCCAAACATTCCTCTGAGAAACTGTACTGACATGAAAGGCAAGTACAACGTTGTACATTCAGTCTTGAGAACTCAAGTCAGCTCAAATCATGGATATCCAACAGAACTTCACAGATAAAAAGGGTACCTAGGCAAACAGCGGCTTAAGAAGCGCCCATATACAATGGGTTGCCTCCTCCAAGACCCTAGACTTCTCACCCTGTCTCATTCTACCTCCCTGAAGTGCTGAGCTCAGTAAACAGAGTTGTCAATGAACCCCTTTTCTCTTTGTTAGATAATCTTCACCCCCAACTCTACCCTTCAAATAACATAAGCATGATCCTGTGATTACTTCACTCTATGCAACATTCTATTCCTGAACTCTGAAACACTAGGCAAAGACATCTCAAGGCAGGCACCTGAGAATGTGGTCCCAAGGCACACCTAGTTTGGGGAATCCTGTCCATATGACAGTTCTGGATCCCAACTCCTAAAGCATCCTTTCAGAGTGAGGACAACTTAGTGAAAGTTCTGCTCCAACACTTCCTGGTGGCTGTAAGCAAACAGCCTTGTTTCTCGTTCAGATTACAGTACTCTATTTCTGCCTATCTCTGTGCTACACTGACAACTTCAAATGACTCAGAAACACCTAAGAATTCCAGTCATAATACAAATACTGACAGCAACTCCAATCCAGAAATCACTGACTGCCAGCTCTGAGTTGGCCCAAAGTTATTATTACTAACCCCAAAACAACAACAAAAAAACCAATTAGGAGACAGATGTGGTGGCACAAACCTCTAATCCCAGCAGCTTGGGAGGCTGAGGCAGGAGGATCAAGAGTTTAAAGCCAGCCTCAGCAAAAGTGAGGCACTAAGTAACTCAGTGAGACCCTGAGTTGTAAATAAAATACAAAATAGGGTTAGGGATGTGGCTCAGCAGTTGAGTGCCCCTGAGTTCAATCCCTGGAACCCGAAAGAAAAGAAAGAAAAAAACAATTAGAAAAAAAAATCATCTGCTGAAATTTACAAGGTACTTTCAACCTTACAACGAGATCATGGTGTTACCATCAGAGAAAAAAAATTACAAGGCTTTTTTAAAAGGGCATTTGCAAAGTTGTAGACTGATCACAGTCCAGATCTGCTGTTCCAGCTAGGAAACTAGACTTCATCAATACCAAGGAATAACACAAATCAATCTTATAGGGCAGTCGCATTAACCAAACCCATAAGGCAGATCTGTAAAACCACAAAGCCAATAACTGCCATCATGGGAATTAGACCATTCTCATCCTCTCAAAGGCAGGCCAAATAATCACCAGACTACTGCTTGATAAAGATGCAATCTGACAAAGACAGGCTAGGAAAACTGAACATTTAATGGCATCAGGCTTACCTAACCTGATGAATCCCCCTCATCATAGGAATGGTCTTGCCCATACTACCAGATCAATCCATATAGCACCCACCTCTCCTGAAAGGCACAAAGCCCTCTTTCCTGGACAAAGACTAAAGGACTAAACCATCTGCCTGGGTGACAAATTATTTTTTAGCATATTATATATCCAGTCAAGGTTTACATATAGGCTTGCCAGTCAGGGAGCTATTTTGTTTTTTTTCAGGCAACCACAAACTTCTACTCTATTGCATTATGCTTTGATCTTCAAATTTAGTTCTCAAATACAAGAACATATAATTACTTTTTCTAACAAGCACTAAGTGTCAAGCTATTCCAGGTACTAGATCTTCTACAATGGGGGTGGCAGGGGGTGGGTGGCGGAATCCCTGTTCTCTTTATATTCTAGACTTCATGTAAACCCTAAAATATAACAAAATGCACAACTAGTAAATGCTGAAAAAAACACCAAAAAAATGCAAGGATAGTAACACTGCCTGAAGTAGGACCACTAGCATTACTCCTAAGCATTCAATAAGAAAAAACAATTTTCATACTGATGTTAAGAAAATTAGTAAGAGTTTTTAAATGGTTTCTATGCTTACCAATGAGTAATTAAATTTAGGTTCTTTGAATCTCAATTTTATTACCTATGAAATGATAGCTAAGTGAGATAATATATTCACAGAACCAAGAAAATACTTAGGGTAGGAAAATCACAAAATTATCTCTTGTGCTTGATAACACGAGTGAATTTATACTTCAAGAATAACAAGACTTGACTGACTGGATCCTAGGTTAAAATATAAATGACATTTTGAGACAACTATAGAGAAATTTGACAGTGGACTATATGCTAGACAACTAAATCAATGTTGATTTTCTTAGGTTTCATCATGTTGCAGGAGAATATTCTTGTTCTGAAAAGGTGCATGTTGAAATACTGAAGGGTAAAATTTTGATGTCAAAAAAAATCAGTACAGGGTAGCATTTAAACAGATGAAGCACGTGTGCCAAAATATTAATAATTGGTCAATCAAATAAAAGAGACATTAGGTATATCACATGGATTTTTATCTTTTAAACTTTTCTGTGGATTTGAAAATTTGCAAAATGGGATTTTATAAGTCTCTTCCTCAGGAAGAAAAATAGCTTATAATATATAATTATATACAACATAATTCTCTTAAAGTTGAAGATAATATGATACCAGTAAGTACTCAAAATTATGAGCAAAGGTAGTATCTTTTTTTTTTGGGGGGGGGGGTATTGAAGACTGAACCCCAGGGGCACTTTACCACTGAGCTACATCCTCAGTCCTTTTTTGAGATATTGTCTTACTAAGTTACTAAATTGCTCAGGCTGGTTTCAGTCTTGCAATTCTTCTGCCTCAGCCTCCTGAGTCACTGGAATTATAGGTGAGCGAAACTATGCCCAGCCCAATCAGTATTTAAGTCTATAAAACTAACAATGTTATATTAGAAATGTTTAAATACACTGTTTCTATTTTATGGAAATGAATAGTGTTTCCAGTTTAAAGCTTCATCTGTTTCTATTTTAAACCTCTGATAAAAGGTATAAAACCACTGGGGTACTGGGGTATTCAACCAGTCTTCATTTCCAAAACCCAATAGTTTTGTTCTTTAGTTTCTCAGAAAATAAACTGAGCAGAAAAGTACCCCACTACTACAAGGAAATGATCCAGCAAATCCAGTCCAGGTGGAACAGGGAAGGATGCCAGCTCACCAATGTGAACAGTCATGCAGGCTGTCATGCAGGGCTTTCCGAAGCACCGAGTCCTTGTCATAAATACCCCAGGTAGCTTGTAGTACTGAGTCAAGTAAGCAGTCCCCTGCAGTTCGATTCCAAAGGGCATACAGTCGACTATCCAAACGTGTAGCCAACTCCAAGGACCAGTTTATAATTGGGGATTCTTCTTCTAACTCTGAGGAATTTAAATAACATATTCATTTTCGTGCCTATGTGGTTACAAAATATTCAGTAGGGTGAAGAATCCATCTTTTACATGTAAAAGGTAATTTATTAATAAATACCTAAATAAATTTGATCAACTGAAATAGATTTTTAGTAGTTAAAACATGGCTCTGGAATAGTTTATTCAACTTCAAAATTCCTTATAATTTTATTTTCTAAAAAATGTTGAATACAGAAATACATTTATACTGGAAAGTAGAAATTTTAAGGATCTTACATCTTTAATCTAAAACAAAAATACACCAAACTACTCCATACCCTAACAAAGCAAATCAAAATTTAATCTATCAGATAAAAGGTAAATTATATTCATTAATTACATGCTTACCTTTTTGAACATCTCTATCAAGCACCTCATCAAATAATTTTTCTTGAACTGTTGGGGGTAAGTCTTCAATATCTACAAAGGAAAATCAGACTGAAAACATATTCTTGTATTTCATAATTCGATAAACTATGGTAGCCTCTAATAGTCATGTCCTCTAAAATAACTTCCTCTCCACTGGAGGTCAGCAGATTTTTTTTTTATTAATGAACACATGTAACATGTGAAAGGTAAAATAGGTGTATTATTTCCATTCGGTATTTCATTACCAAAACTTCTTAATATACTTAAAAATAATATAAATAACATTATATGGTGCTGCACACATATAATCCCAGCAAGTAGGGAGGCTAAGGCAGGAGGATCTCAAATTTGAAGCCAGCCTCAGCAACTTAGTGAGGCTGTGAGCTACCTAGTGAGACCCTATCTCAATATAAAAAATAAAAAAGGGCTGGGGATGTGACTCAGTGGTTAAGCACACAACACTAAACAAAACAAATAAATAAACTGCAACAACATTTGCACCAATAATTACAAATCAACTTTTAGTTGTTTTCTTCTCCTCACACTGGAAACTTCTGTTCAAAATATTACTTCCAAATCGAATCTTCTTTAAAAGTAAATGAAGCATAATTTTGGCACATAGCCTTTTTGTCATCTTCCTCAAATTCTCTATGCTCTATTCAGGTTACTTGTACCCATAAGAAAAATTATCCTTAATATTTTTTAAAGGCATTTTCAAGTCAGCCAAGTGGAGTGGCACATAACTATAATTCCAGAGATTTGGGAAGCAGAGGCAGGGGGGGACACAAGTTTGCAGGCAGACACAACAATTTAGAAAGACCCTGAACAACTTACCAAAATTCTATCTCAAAATAAAAAGAAATTTAAAATCTGAGAATGTAGTTCAGTAACAAAGCACCTTGAGTTCAATCCTCAGTACCCCTCTCCCCCCAAAAAAGCATTTTAAATTCAAAATAAAAATCTAATCATAATTTAGGATTAGCTTAGTGTGTGTGCACTTCAAATGATATTTGTCCAAATTTTAGAAGACTCAGTTTTTATCACCTACCATTTATAAATGCCCCTGGTTTATATCTGAGTATGAAAGTTGAAAATACTCAGATCCCATATGAAAGCTTTTATTTTACAAGCCTTTGAGTTTTGGTATATTTATTCAATGCCACTAACAAGACATCCTAGAAGATTTTTCTCAACAGCCAATTATAGAAAAATAAAAATTTGCTTCACAAATATAATAGAAATCAGTGTAATTAGTGAAAAGCAATGCCATCTCAAGAGTGCCAGCATCTTTAATCCAAAAATGACCTCTTTTCCATAAAAGTCCTGTGTTCTAATCCTTCTGCTTACACAAGATAACCAATCACTATCCAATTTCAAAATAACAGATGAATATGAAAAGGGAAAATTAAAATAGACCAAAAAAAGAGAACTTTGTAAGATAAAACCAAAGAGGGAAATAAATGGGCAACACACACACACACACAATACTGGGTACAGTGGTGCTTGCCTATAATCCCAGTGACACAGGAGGCTGAGGCAAGAAGATCTTAAGTTCAATGCCAACCTGGGCAATTTAACAAGACCCAAACTAAAAAAGGAGCTGGGGTAGAGTGCCTGCCGCTGGATTAAACCCCCAGTACTTGGGGAAAAAAATAACAATCCGAGACCCACAAAGATCAGTTACTTCTGATCTTTCAAATAATAATGATAATGAAAGCATCTGTTTCTACGTAGCTCTTGTACTGACTACTTTCAGCATAAACAGGACGGTAAAGTCATTTAAGGTGCACATATATTATTTGCTTTCTTTTAAAAAAATACATTTTTTGATCCATCTATAAAAACAGAACTATAATAAAATGAAAATTTCTTTTCACATTAAATTTTGGAATTACCTGCTGGCAATGTAAATGTTACAAGGTCAGTTAGGAAATAGCAAGCAAAATCCCCCTTTCTCTGATGAAGAGAGGCAGCGACTTCCCTCCGGATTTGTTCTGTCAGTTCAGGACACACCATCGCTGGAATACATTTTGCTGCTTGTTGAGACACCTTAAATACAACATAACAAACTTTCTTCTGTATCTCATTTATCATAAGTGAAAGAACATAACACAGCATTTAAAAGAAATTAGCAAAATGTCCCAATAATTCAAAGCTATGTTTGTTTTTTTAATCTTATATTGTGTTGGTATTATTTTCTTACCAGTGGAAATACATATCAGTACATCTTTCCAGAAAAACAGCAATACAAGTGTGTTACTCTGATTCAGTAATTCTACTCTTCATATTTATCCCAAGACTCAAAGATGCACATTTTTAAATACATACAAAAGACTATTGTTTATAAAGGTGCATCATAGGAGAGGGAGGGAGAACAGAAAACCTAGATGGACTAGCCATCATTAAAAACATTCGTAAAAATAAGGAATTGCAAATGCTCTTCTTCCATGTATTTTAAGAACCCTGACTTGGAATAAAGAAAACACAACATTTAAAGCATTATTTCCACACTGGCCTTGAAACTCTTCCTTCTCCCCATGTGTTACCACAGAATTTTTTAAAAAAGCATTTGTAATCTAAGTTTAAATCTGGCAGAGGAGCTGTGCACATTGTTGCAGTGAGTACTACTACAGAGGCCTCTAAAGCAAGGAAATACAAGGCTCAGGTGGCTAGAACTTTCTTCCCCTTTTAAAATGCTCAATAGCCGTCAGGCCCAGTGGCAGAGGCCACTATAATCCCAGTGGCTCTGGAGGCCAAGACCAAAGCCAGCCTCAGCAACTTGGTGAGGCCCTAAACAACTTAGCAAGACCCTATCTCTAAATAAAAAATAAAAAAGAGCAGGGGATGTGGCTCAGTGGTTAAGCCCACCTGGGTTCAATCCCTAGTAGCAAAAAAACAAAACAAAAAAAAATCTAAATAGCAACAAATGTTGCAAAGATTTCACCTTAGGTTTCAGTTGTATTTGGTATGTAGAGTTCAAAAAACATACATATAGAAAATTTTTAAATCAAAGGTGTCTGTTAGTGAGTAGAAGAGTCTGGTGCCATCCTTGATTGAGACAGTAAGCTCAGTTTTCAGTGACAGCAACGTGTAACATCACCTACCTAACAGTAGCCTTTCAGTTACAAGTAGAGTCTAGAGCAGCAAATCTTGTGGCAAACCACTCCAAGAAGTTTTACTGATGATGTCATCTATGTTTATATGTGGAGAGTTTAACTTCATTTGTAAGTAACAGAGTTTCCAACACCTGCATAGCTATTCATAACTATTTTGAAAGCTCCTACATGAAAATTCGGTCCTATCAGAATGTATTGGCCAGGATTACCAGTAACCAAGAAAATGCAAGTACACTAGACTATGCTGGCTACAATTATCAGTAACTATGAAAATTCCCACATCTTAACTCCATGAATCCAAGAGTCAAAAAACACTCAAAATATGGGAAACCAGACAGGCATGGTGGCACACACCAGTAATCCCAGCGGTTCAGGAGACTGAGGCGGGAGGTCTGCAAGTCCAATGCCAGCCTCAGCAACTTAGTGAGGCCCTAAGCAACTCAGCAAGAGTTGCTTTAAATAAAATATTACAAAGGGCTGGGAATATGTCTCAGAGGTTAAGCACCCCTGGGTTTAATACGAGTACCAAAATTAAATATACATATGTGTGTACACACACACACACACACACACACACACACACGAGAAACCAAACATCAAACATTTTCAGACTACAACTCTCATTTCAACACTGCTAAAATGAATACCAAAAGTAATTCAAAAATAGCTTTTTCCAAGAGGCTATCCCTCAGACTCTTTCAAAAACCAGAAAGACTTTTCCAAAAATAACCTGGACATAACATCAAATGCTCAGACATTTCAAGAAGAATGGCCTCCAAGCATTCCCCTTCACTATCATCCTCAAGCAGGATATGAAGCTGCCTCTCATCTTTTCACCTCTTCAACTTTATGAGACCTTAAGCTAAAAGTTCTTCACTGAGGGTCCAAGAACTTAAATGGAAATTTTGTTTTAATTACATTTAAATTATTCATTTTCACTAACTCCTTGCCTAAAATAAAATGCGTTCTTATTAATCACAAATTTGGTTTGGTATTTTGAAAACTATGTTCCTGGCCCAATAACTTGAACTTTTAACAGACACATCCCATCAAATACCATGATTCAAGTATTCCTGCAAAACATCATGCTTTGAAAGCACACACTGCTGGGTGAAATGTTGTGCACCTGCATACCAAGGTACCTGGGAGGCTGACAGAGGATTACTTGAACCCACAAGGTCAAGGCCAACCCAAGCATCATAATCACACTTCATTTCAAGGGAAGGAGAAAAAAGAATATACCCTTGAAATTTATACTGTTGAAATCAACTTAGAGTTTAATGTGATTTTTTTTTAAGAGGGAGAAAAATAGCTAAAACATAAGAAATGTTTGGAGAAACATTATATCAAAAACAAAAATTAACACCACAATTAATATAAAAGAACATTTAGGGATGGGGTTGTAGCTCAGCAGTAGAGAGCTTTCCTAGCACATGTGAAGAGTGACAGAGCACTTGCCTAGCACTTGGGAGGCACTATGTTCAAGCCACAGCACCACATAAAAATAAATAAATAAATAAATGTACGTATGTATGTATATTTTTAAAAAGAACATTTAACCAAAATGCCACACTTACCTCTGTAAGCAATATTGCTAGCATATCCTGCCTCTGGAAACGTATGGCTAAGTGTACCAGGGTGTAGCCAACATCAAAGGCAGAAGGGCGATTCAGTAAGCGTACTTCATCTGCAGTAAGCTGGCGTGCGATATCTCCTCCTGATGATTTGTATGCTTCTATGGCAGCTAAATCACCTTCTACGACTCCTAAAACAAGCATCAAGATAGAAAAGCATTTAATCCTATTTTTCGTCAAAAAGCAAAAACCTGTAGAATTCACTCCAAACTCTAAACATTTCTCTGTGCTTCCTGGATCCTGGGGTATCACTTATTGTCCTAAAGAATATAAGAAAAATTAGCATTTCCCTCCCTTTAAAAATTTCTTGCCAGAACTACCTAGTTAGCACTTACCTTACCATCATCAGTGCTGGCTCCATGCTCTGGTAAAGTTTAAAGGAAATGTTAGGATACAGCAACTGGATGAAAAATCAGTAACCTAATGTGAGACACCAGACTTCACAGAACATACTGAGCCCCTGTTCTGGGCCTGCATTCATCCTAACTGTAGAAACCAAGGAGGCAATGAGGTGCTTCCAGTGGATGTGGCTGCTGCCCCCTTACACTACATTCTTAAAGCAAAATCCAAAGGGGGGAGGGGAGAACTGAGTTTTCCATACTGCTCTTAATTGTGAAACAACTTAGTGACTGGAACCATTTTCATTGTTATGTGAAAGTTAGCAAAAATTTTAATTTCAAAACCTCAGAATGCTTGTTTCAGCAGTACATATACTAAAATTGGAATGACACAAAGAAGATCAGCATGGCCCCTGTGCAAGGATGACATGCAAAATTGTGAAGCGTTCCATATTTTTCTTAAAGCAGCCTGAATGAGTGGGAGTGGGAAAACATCCCAATTATATATATATGAGCCAAGACATCTATACACCTATTTCAAATTGTTAATTGTTAATAAAGTAAAAATTAAACCAGATGAGTTTTGATAAGGTATGTTAAAACATTACAAACAAGTTAGGGACAAGAGAATGAAACAAGTATCACTTTTTCCAAATCCACAGAGAACTTCAAAATTCCCAATGAACCATTTTATTAATCTTAACACAAAAATGTTAAGTAAAAGTGATAACTATATTGACAATAAAAATCAACCCTTTAAAAAGAAATGTCTACATTAGCTTGCAATTTACTAAAAATAAGAGGGGAGGACCCCAAACCCGAGATTATAAAACCAAACAATTTTGTCTCCTAACTTACAGCAGGAAAAATAAATTTGTTAAATTTGGTGAGTAGAATGATAATACTAGCTGAAAATAGTATGCTTTTTAAAAAGCATTTTGCATTAGGAATTAAGGTAAATAGATATTCCTTACAGGTTGTACCAAACCCCCCCCCCTTAATTTAATTTCCATATCTACTGAAAGAGCACTGTTCAAGGCAATATGAGAAACACAAAGATAATAAAAACATACCTCTTATATTCAAAAAAGTCCTTTCTAATAACACTTTTGAGTCATAAATGGCCAGCTTCAAAAGTCTGCAAACTCTAGGGTCATGGACCCTTTTAGCAAGTCAATATGCTTTTGCCTCAAAAAGGTCCCCCTACCCCCTATCCCCAGACATACATTTTTCAAGATAAAGCAGGCGTGGTAGCACACCATCTATAGTCCCAGCACTCTGGAGATCACTTACGCAATACAGACTCTCCATCTCAAAAAAAAAAAGCCATAACTATTTCAGGATGTAGCAGGATCATTGCATGTTTTATGGTCTTCAGCTTAAACCTAAAAATATATCTATTTATAAAATTTATTTGTTTACATATGATATTCCATGCTCTCCCAAAAGCAATCCAAGTTTGATCAATTCACCTGACAGAGGAAGATCTGTATATACATATGTATTTATGTGTATGCTACGTATGTGTGATATTCTATATTCAAATATATTTATTTCTAAAAGACAAACATGAGAAAATCTAAAGCTAAATACCAAATGACTTCCTTCTTTGGGTGGAAGAAGGAGATCTTCTAAATCACTGTCTTTACTATTCCTGGCTAACTCACCATAAAGGAGAAGTCTAAAAGAATTTCACCTTAGAAATTCTTAAGAATTTATTTCTTTTCTAATGTTTCTGAGGGATTTCTTTGGGTGTGTGTGTGTGTGTGTGTGTGTGTGTGTGTGTGTGTTGCTAGGGACTGAACATGTGAAGCAAGCACTCTACCAACTGAGCTATATCCCCAGCCCTTTTCTGAGGAGTTTCTCAAATTAGGGGTGGCAGGAAGATGAAGACTAATCTAAACAGCACACTGAAGTTTACAATCCTATGATTTACAGTACCACCCATTCTCCCTTCAAAGTAAGTACTTCAAAAAAACAAAAATCTGCAAATGGTGATGAAATGCATGGTATATAAACAATATCTCAGTAACGCTGAGACAGACAGACACACACGCGTGCGCGCGTGCACACACACACACAAAATTTCTATCTGGTCTAATCCAAAATAACAAAAATACTCAATTACTCCTTCTCATCCCAAACTCTACATTAAACTGCAGAAAAGCTAACATGCCCATTCCTTAGCATAGAATATATACAAGAGGATAGAAAATGAGGATAAAACAGAATAGACTCTTCTCCACTCTTCACAGCACAAAATTCTCCAAACTTTCTAGCACGAACACATGGAAGTATAGACAAAAGATAACTTAAAAAAATATCTTATTGTCTAATGTTTGAGGAATATATGATTCCATTCTTTTCCTTACCCATAATAAGAACTTATGGTTTCAGTGACAGGTGAATTTTCAGCTACAAAGATCAGTAAACTTTTTACAAATTTCATGACAATGTCACTAACTGCCCAATTTTTGTTATGTCTTTATTATATACTGTTCAAAGAGAACTACTGAAAAGCTTAGGCAATTTCTTCATGATGCTTCACTACAAACATGATGTTTAAAAGAATTCGAACCATATTCAAAGAATTTAAACTGGGAGGGAGGACATCGTAGTACATTCAAAAAAATCTTACAAGATATCGGAGTTCTTCTAAGAAAGTAGAGAAAAGCAGAAGAAATGGTAGGCAGGAAAAGATAGCATATAAAGGTTAAGTGCTAAAAATCTCACTTTATAGAACAAAAGCGGGGGGGGGGGGGGGTACTGAAATGTTCCAAGAGAAAATAAAGAGACGACTTGTACATGGCTTTCTTCTAAGTTACTTCCAACTCACAATGCCTTAAAGAATAACTCAAGAAACTTTCTCTTAATACTTTTTAAATTTAGCAAACATTTTGTCCCTTCCTCCTCCATGCAATGAAGGCAAACAACCACCAAAAAAAAAAACAACTAAGGATGCTCTGAGAAGATTACCAGTATAAAACTAACCTGCAGTACCATCATACATTCAAAAGGATTGAATAAATGCATAATTAGCTAAATAGAGTCACATAATTACAAAGAAAAGTGTTAATACAGTTTTAAAAACAGGAAGATATAAAGAGTAAGTGAAAAATACTGTGTTATACATTACTAGCTACAAAGTCTAAAAAAAAAAAAAAAATGGTGGCACCTGCCGTAGCAGCTCATGTTGTCCTATGAGCTGGGCCATGAGCTTATAGTATTTTGAAGCCACAAGAGAATAAGTCACCGAGGACTTCACAGCTACTATGGAACTCCGTTGGTTAGCATATGAAGCTGGCTCATAGATATTTAGAAAATAGACTTATTTTTCCCCCATGTATGGCACGGTTTTCAAAGTTTTGCCTTATTTTCCTTTATGACATAAAATCATAATGGTAACTCACTTTGAAAAGAATGCCAAATGGTAAAAAAAAAAGCCAGGACTTACCTGAGCCCACATGGGCCAGCTCAACACTACCCTGGAGTTCTATGGTAGCTGTGACATCACAGCATGGTTTATGCTGTGGGGTCAGGGTGGACCTGGAGTCAGCAGGCACAATTTCGGGAACCCTTAAAAAGAAAAGTTAGTTTTAAGTGGTAATGTTCAGAATGTCCTATATCATGGTCAGTAGAAAGATGCAGATGAGGCTGGCTATAATGTCTAGGTCATTTTCCTCTACCCAGAGTTGAATTCATTTAATTGTTTTGCATATTAATAAGAAAGAAAACCACTTAGTAACACTTTTCTTTTTAATCATTTATACTTTAATCATAAACCTGATGTAGATATTCACAACAAACTTTCAATACTCAAACATAAGCTGCTTTTTAGTTTAAATAACCTCAATATTTTTAAGTCTGCCTTCAAACAGAGGGAAAATTCCAGAAACAGTTTTGAGCAAAACAAACCCCTCCTAGTTCACTGCTGACAATAATTAATAGTAACACGATTTACCATTTCTAATGCCAGAATAATGCTATAAAATAGTGACACTGTCAAAAAAAAGAGGGGTGATAATCAGAAATCGGAAAAAAATTATTAAATATAATCTAATCTATAATAAGAGTAACTCCTATTCAACAATCTCACTTCCCCATTATTAAAATTCTCTTTAGAAAAACAAGAAGACTCGATGAAATAAGGAGTCAAATAGTCTCTAAGGCCTTTTAAATGTCCTATTATTAACTGACAAACTGTCGGAGAACATTACTATTTCTGAGCTCTTACCTCCTTACATCTTTGATCTGACTGTTAACTGCTGTGGAAATATAAATCCCCAAAGTCATGAAAGACACCTTTCTAAGAAAGAAGATCCTGAAGTACAGGAAAATTTACTGCAGGAAGCATAATGGAAGAATTTAAAGGAAAAAGTTATCTCTGGAACAAGTGATCAGAGAGGAGTATAAATGCTAATGAATTATGGAACATTATAAAGGTCACTTGAGGAAATTAAGAATTTTCTAAAAATTGTATAAATATATATATATATTTTTTTTTTATTTTTTTTTTTTTTGGTGGGGAGGGATTGCTGCTGCTGCATTGTGCATGTTAGGCAAGTGCTCTACCACTGAGCAACAACCCCTAGCCCCTAAAAGCATATTTTGAAACTCACATAAATAGTATATGCCAGAGTCACACTCACACAGCCATCAAATCCAAAAGTTTTTCTGACTTCAAAATAAAAATTTCACTGCTACACTGTCAAGTCATCCTGGCTGAATCTGGAATCAAATTTTAGAATTAGGATTATGGTATTATAGTTAGGACCGGAAAGACTATAGCCACCCTCTTTTACAATTAAGAAAACTATGGTAAGTAAACATTTCAATAGGCAGGGGGTTATTTATTGAAAATAAAAGGAAAAACCCATGACTTTTCATAACTTTATATTGTTCATATTATAGTCACTTAAAATTCTCCTAGTCAAAAATATACACAAAATTACCAAATTAGAAGAAATATTAGATCATCTTGATAAGATCCCCAGCTAGAATCACAAAACAAGAAAGTCCCTATAATTGGCCACTGCAAGAGAAGGTTCTACAAGTTTCATAAATACTCATGGCTCACACACATGTATCCACATAAATGGAGTGGTATGTTCTGCCCAACAGTTTCAGGCCCTCGCAGCATAACACATTAGACATCCCTCACCACATCATGTTTAAAACAACCTTGCCTTTTTGTTGTTGTTGTTGTTTAACTTTTGAGTTCTTTGTATACTCTGGAGATTAGCGCTCTATCTGAAGTGTGAGGGGTAAAAATTTGTTCCCAGGATGTACGCTCCCTATTTACCTCACTTATTATTTCTCTTGCTGAGAAAAAAACTTTTTAGTTTGAATATGTCCCATTTGTTGATTCTTGATTTTAACTCTTGTGCTATAGGTGTCCTATTAAGGAATTTGGAGAAACAAGTACACAAAAAAATGCTCACCATCTCTAGCTATCAGA